GGTTCTTATATATTCTGATTACAAGTCATTGACAGAAATGTGATTTGCAAATATGTTCTCTTCGTCTGAGGTTTGTTATTTTCACTGTGTTTAACAGTGTCTCTTGCAGAGGAAAACTGTTCAATTGCGATGAAGTGTAATTTATCATTTTTTAATTTTATGGATTGTGTTTTACACACCATATCTAAGAACTTTTTGCCTTACCCAGAGTCACCAAGATTTTCTTTCTTTATTTTTTATAAATTTTAAATTTTACTTTTCACATAGAGGTCTTTAAGCCATTTTGGTTTATGTTTTGTATAAAGTGTGATGTATTTGTATTTATTTTTACTTATGGATATTATTACAGCACTATTTGTTGAAAGGCTAATCTTTCTCTGTTGAATTGTCTTTCCATCATTATTGAAAATCAGTGGACTATAATTCTGTCAGATTATTTTGCGACTCTATTCTTTTCTACGGATCTATGTATCCTTTTGCCAATAAAAGACTATCCTGAATACTGTTATAAGTCTTGAAGTTGGGTATAACGAGTCCTTGAATTTTTTTCTAATTTTCAGAATTATTTTGGCTACTGTTGTTTTCTATCACATCATATAAATTTTAGAATAAGCTTAGTAGTTGATATCTTGTTGTAGTTGATATCTACAATATAATCCTATTGTAATTTTGACTGGGATTCTTTATATCAGTAGATCAATTAGGGGAGACTTAACACTTGTCATAGCAGAACCCCAAACTCATAGACAACAGCAAGGAATAACCACTCCACAACTCCCTATGTGGTAATAATATGTAATGGACAGAACTAGTTTATTTCTCACAGCATAGTAAATATCAGGAGCATCAGCATGTTTGCTCCATTTCCTCTTGCCCCCGAGTACCATTAGGTAATACAGTAGGCCAGATGTAGGTTATATATCATGTGACCATTGCTGTAGCTGAGGAACACAGGTACAATGGGTCAGCATGTTTTGTAGCAAGCAGCAAACAAGTCAGTCCCCCTCTCCCATGAGTGAGCATTTGCAGGCTAGTCATGTTGTGGTCACTTTGACCTACTTAGTTGCTTATGTGACCAGCTGCAGAAACTTCTCAGTTTCAGAAGACAATAATTCCTGCATTTTGTCATACCCAGCAAGGGCATGCAGGGACACTTAGGGCTCATCAGAGTCTATTGCTTTGAATAGTACTTTTATAATATTTAATTATTCTAATACATGAACATAATACATCTTTATTTGTTTGTATCTTCTTCAATTTCTTCCATCAGATTTTTGTTCTTTTCATCATAGACGTCCTGCATACATTTTGTTGCATTTATACCCCTGTGGAGATTTTGTCTATAATAACCTTCATATCATATATCAGACAACTGAGTCAAACACAGCTGAGAGACTTGCCCAAGGAAACATGTTGACCTGGGAGAGAATAATAATAAGAAGAATAATGGTGAAAACAGATATTTATACACTGTTTTGTGTTCTTCATTTCATGCTTACTATGTGCTCTAAGCTCTTAAAACACATGAATTCAGCTAGGGGCTGGCCCCATGGCCGAGTGGTTAAGTTCACGCGCTCCGCTGCAGGCGGCCCAGTGTTTCGTTGGTTCAAATCCTGGGCGCGGACATGGCACTGCTCATCAAACCACGCTGAGGCAGCATCCCACATGCCACAACTAGAAGGACCCACAATGAAGAATATACAACTATGTACCAGGGGGCTTTGGGGAGAAAAGGGAAAAAATAAAATCTTAAAAAAAAAAAAACACATGAATTCAGCTAATGTTTACAAGAATTCTATAAAGTAAGAGCTGGTATAACTAACCTTATTTTACTAATGAGAAAAGAGAAGACAAATAAGTTTAATAACTCCCTTAAGATCACATAGCCAGGAGGAGGTAGAGCTGTTATTTGAACACAGGCAGTCACTCTCCATTGTCCCTGCTTTACGTCAACACACCACCATACCTCAGGTCCTTTGATTCTAAATCCAGCACTAGAATGTATTGAACATCTGAACCAACTACAGTTCCTTATTTGGAGTTTGGATAATGGCCCTGTTCAAGGCAAAGGGGCTCTGAGAAAACTCACAAGTATTCCTACCTGACGAGTGGGAATGATATGGATTGAAGAGAGCTTAATTTGCAACCAGAATCTTCAACCCTTATCTGAGGACACCAGGATGTCTTGCTATGTTTTGTCTATCAGGCTCTCCTTGGGGTTGAGTCATTGGGTGCAATGGCACTAGAGGAGAAAGTTGAAATTTTTGAACATACCTATAGAAGTTAAAGTAAAATCCTTTTCACAATTTTCAATGAAAATAACAACAAAAGTTTTGAGAAACTTAAATTTTGTTGGTTTATTGGACAATGTGTTTGACCAGATTCAGATTTGAAGCTGAAGTATGTTTCCATTATTACCTAGTTACATTTTTATGTGGCTTAAAACTAGAATAACATTCTAGCTGTTGTCTGACATTCAGGTGGTGGCAGTCCAAGTGTCAACAAATATAAAACACTCACCCCTTTCCCTGGAATGCTAGAAGAGAGGCCCACGTTCAACCCCCTTTACCCTTTCAGTGGGTAATGGTGCCTAGAAATGGGTATAAATTACTGAAATCATCCTAATCTCATTACTGATATACATAATGGGGGATAAAGACAAATCCATAGCTTTTGTTTTGGTTTTTGGAACGAGTCTAGTCCTCTCACTGGTGAATTAGATGACTAAGCCAGGCCAACATGTGAATGTAAAGGATTGACTGGGGGGGGGGGTGAGAGAGAGATTATCAAATTCTCCACCTACCAGCTCCCTCAGACCTTCAGAGTCTATAGACACTGGGCAAGTTTCCTCTTTACTTTGTTTTGTCTTATTATATTTCTACTGGGAATAAAACAGAAGGATCTCTTACGGCAAATAGGAGCCAACTTTGGGGCCAAACATGATTGTGTCAATTTAAATATTTTGAGTCTTCTATATTTATGGATGGTGTGGGATTTCTTAAAGTTCTGTGAGATGTAGACTTGACTCATGTTTTAAGCTAGGGAAGGCAAGATAGGCCCCTGAATTCTGGAGGACTTGGGGAAATCCAGTTTAAGTGTCTCTGACCTCTTAACTTTATTTCTTTCCTCATAGCAAATAACTTGGACAGGTATATATGTTTCCAAATTTGCCAACTGTCCATCCATAAGCTTTGCCATAATCTGGTGTTTATGCTTTTAAATCCAAAATGTTTTTTGGTCTTGAAATCTGTTTACCTTCTTCCTTTCACGTTGTCTTAGGGTATTTTTTCAGGCCAGAAAAATACATACACATGGAAGCCTGTGGCTCAGAATGGAAAATTTGGAAAAGATCCTTTCTACAACCAGACCTCCTATAAAAGGCTAAGAATTTCAAGGATGAGAGGAGGAACAGAGCATTTCTAGGCTCTAAGCCCATTTTCTTTCTTGGAAATCAATCCAGGTAATTTATATTTTGTTTCTTCTCTGGGGAAGGAGGAGGATAAGATGTTTCTGCTTTCTAGCTGTTGGCAACTACCAATTACTCTCTCCTTGTCTCCCTTGAGATTTATGCATGTTTTCTCTGCTTCTTTTGTGGTTTTGTCATTAAGGTTTGGAACTCCAAACAATGGTGTACTAATTTTCAATTGCTGCATAACAAATTACTCCCATCTTAACAGCTTAAAGCAATACACATTTGTTATCCCACAGTTTCTGTGGGTCAGAAATCTGTAAACAGCTTAACTGGGTCCTCAGCTCAAGGTCTCACAAGGCTGAAATTGAGGTCTCCACTGGAATTTTAATCTCATCTGAGATCAAGGTCCTGTTCCAAAAATGTCAAAATTCACTTCCTTTCAACTATAGGACTGAGGCTCTCAATTCCTAGAAGTCCCCTGCTGTTCCTTGCCATGTGACTCTGTCCACAGTATGGCGGTTTGCTGCCTCAAGTCTGCTTTCTTGTGTCTGGCCTCTACATCCTCTTTTAAAGAGCTTACCTAATTAGGTCAAGGCCACTCAGGATAATCTACCTTTTGATTAAATCAAATTCAAAAGATTTGTTGCTAGCATCATTGAGTTCTGACTGCAGCAACTCTGTATACATCAAAGAGGAACCCTGCTGGGTCTTGCGGCACCATCCTCTCACCTTCCGGCACTATTATCAGACAGTCCTTCACTGCTATTCACAGAGTTTTCATGGCCATTTATTTTGGAAGTGGTTGGCCAGGTCCTTCTTCCTAGTCTGTCTAGTCTGGAAGCTCCGCTGGAAATAGTCCATCATGGGTGACCCTGCTGGTATTTGAAACACCAGTGGTAGAGCTTTCAACATCACGGCAACATGCAGCTGCCACAATATGATGACTAACAGAAGGGTGGTGTGGTTCCCTGACCAGAGATGAACCCAGGCCACAGTGAGAACACCAAATCTTAATCACTAAACCACCAGGACTGGCTATTCAACAGATTAGTGACCTTAATTATGTCTGTAACTTCCCTTTGTCTATAAAATATGACATAATCATGGGAATGATATCTCATAAACTTCAAAAGTCCTGCTCACATGAAAGGGGAGGAGATTATGCCAGGCATGTGCATGGAGACTCAACTTTGAGACTATCTTAGAATTCTGCCTTCCATTAAAGGACTTGGAAGTTTGAAGTTGAAGTTTGGGGAGGAGAAGGATGTGGTGGGTGCGTAAATCTATGTCCTGTGTGTGTATCATCTATAAAACATTACTTCTAAAGACTTGAAGTTCAACAGATTGACACAGATGAGGATATATCTTATGTGAGGAAGAGAAGAAAGAAGAAAGGATCATTCTATCTCAGCCTGAAAACCTACAAATCAAGCATGCAACAGGTGAGGGGATACTAAAGCAGAGAGAGATGGAAGAGGGAGGGCATTGCGGTGGGTGTTTCCTAAATCTTTTGTATAAATCCTGGCGGCCCCACATGGGCCGGAAGCTTCAGGTGACTATGAAAGTAAGATGGCTGGGGAGCATTTGGGCAGGGTCACTACATTTAACCATACTGTGTGCAGTGCTCCACTCCAAAGAGTGCCATTCAGGTGTAGGAAAGTATGATTGGCACTTTTTTGAGTGTGGTAATTCACAACATATACGACCACATGTGTTGGCCCTGGGGGCGAGATGGTGTGGTTGTCTGTGCACATCTGTGTTCACTTTGATGAAATGACCATCCTCTCAGAAGACTCTTAAGTGCCTCTGGAAAGATCAGAGCTAGGATCTGAGGGCACTAAGGGAAACTTCCCATCCAGGTTCTTCAAGGATTTACATACCTTTGTCCATTAAGAGCCTGGGACCTTGGAACAAGATTTGGGTTGGATCCAGCACTCACTCACTTTCTCTCTCTCTCCCTTTTCCCTCTTGTGCACTAATTCTACTTCTCTTCCTAGGAACCTAGCAGCTCTTCCTTCTTTAATATCCTCTCTGGTATCACTATATCAGCAGCGGTTCTGATGGTGACCAGAACTTTTTATTCAGTTAGCTTCTTTGCACATTTTATTTTTTTACCGTTTTTTTTTGTATGTTTTATGTGAAATGTTAACATTTGTTGAAGTGATGAGAAATTTCACTTCTCAGACCTTTGGAACTAATGATGTATTGCATGGACTTTTCTCTCCGTCCTTAAGGGGTCCTATCTTAACCCAGTTCCTTCAAAGAGAGGCCAGAAGAGAGAGACAAACAGAAAGATAAAAGATGGCAAGCATCAGTCCTAAAGACCATTTCAGGACAGTAGCAATTTGTGGGAAGCACTTTGTATATTGTACATTCCTACATGGGAAAATTAGTATATCCTGATGTCCCCAGCCTGGGAATCACAACAGAGAGTTGAATTGGCAACTGGTGTTTGTCAATATTGCTGTCTATTTCCAAACAGCCACTTGTCTCTCTTCACCCCAAGCCTTGGTGGAAATTTAGATCTCAGTGAAGAGAATGGAAATTGCGTTACTTTGTCTCTTGCATGTTTACAAGAGTACCGTATGTGTCTACTGCTCAGTGTTTGCTCCATCTTTCCTCCACTGAATCTCAGCTACTCCTGGTATGAGCCAGACTGTGAAAGTGACTCTTTGTTATTTGTTCTCATGCTTTGTGTATATTTGTGAGGTTGTGTGTGTGTACATGTGCGCATATGCTTTGGAGCTCTCGTTTTGAGTTTGGGAGGGTATATTATATGGTATAATTTTTGTGGTTTTGATTTTGATTTATGAATTTTATTCTTATTTGGTCTTTATGAGTTAGTTGTTCATTTATATTTTGGTTAATATGTTCACTTTTTATTTGTTGTTTTGTTTGTATTGCTGTAGGGCTTTCTACATATGAATTTGTGTTTGGATTTTTATGTTCCTTGCTATTGGTGCTTTGATTTATGTGGTTTTTATGTGTGCTTTTAAGAATTTGCAATGTGGTATTTTCTTGTTACTGTCGTCATTTTAATTGGGTTTCCTATGTATGTGTGTGATTATCTGAGTCATGATTTGTTTTTGTCTTTTTGTTCATTGAAATTGTCCATATGTGTTGCAGGTTCTTTTGCTTATATTTGGGTTTGGGTTCATTCCTTTTATTGTTTTGCTGTTATTGTTTGCTTGTTTGTGAGTTTCTGTCAATGGTTTCTCTTGGCAGCTGGTCTCAGATATCCCTGACGTATGTGAAGCTGTTGAAATGAATACTCTGAGGTTCCTGAGAGAGAGAAGGATGGGGAACAGAAGAAGAAATGGCACTGGGCTTGGGGTGGTTGGAGAAGAGTGAGAGTCCTGCCGTTTGGGCCACTGTTTTCCTGTAGAGAGCTTTTTTAAATCAGCTTTACAGAAGTCTAATTTACATATCATAAAACTAACCATATTTAGTTGTACAATTTAATAAGCTTTTACAAATATATTCAATAATGTAGCTAACACCTAAACGTTTCTGTCACCCTCCCAAATTCCTTCATGTCCGTTTGCATTCAATCCCATTCCCTCACCTTCAGACCATGAAAACCACTGATCTGCGTTCTGTCAATATAGTTTCGTTTTTCCATAATTTCAGATAAATGAAATCATATAGAAGGTAGTCTTTTTATGTTTGGCTACTTTCACTTAGCATAACGCACTTGATATTCATAAAGTTGTTGCCTGTGCTCCTTTTTATTACTAAGTAGTAATCCACGGTATGGATGTACCACCGTGTTTTTATCCATTCACCAGTTGAAGGATATTTGTGTTGTTTCCAATTTGGGGCAGTTAAGAATACAAGTGCTACAAACGTTTGAATACAACTTTCTTTGTAAACTCAAGTTTTCATTTCTCTAGAGCAAATACCTAGGAGTAGGCTCACTGAGCCATATGTAAATGTATGGTTAACTTGATAAGAAGCCTCCAAACATTCAAAGTGGCTGTGCCATTTTACATTACTGCCAGAAACGTATAATATCTCCAGTTGAGCCACATCCTACTTTTAAATTTTATTTATATGGGTCTATTTCTGGGCTTTCTATTCTGTTCCATTGATCTATTTATCTGTTCTTTCACCAATACCACACTCTCTTGATTACTGTAACTTTATAGGAAAAGTTGAAATCACACAGTGTTAGTCCTCCAACTTTGTACCTATTTTTTAAAATTGGTTTGTCTATTCTTGTTCTTTTGTCTTTCCTCATAAATTTTAGAATCAAATTATTGATATATGCAAAAATTCCTGATGAGATTTTGGTTAAGATTGTGTTGAATTTATGGATCCACATGGGAAAATTTGACATCTTACAATACTGACTCTTCCAATCCATGAGTACAGTATATGTCTCCATTTATTTATAGCTAAGAATGTAATTTTTGTTCTAGATTAAATTGTACCATTTAAAATATTTAAATCGTAATTGTTCATTGCTAGTTTATAGAAATATTATTTATAGTTTGCTGCCCATCTTTCAGGGATCAGTGTCCTTCACTGCCTGCTTTCTGGTGTCTTATAAACTGTTGTTTCCCATATTCTGGCAGGTTTTTTTCATTGTTTCAGGTGGGAGGATAAATTAGTTCCCTGTAACATCCTCTCGGCTGGAAATGCACAACATACGCACATAGTTGGTGGCCCTAAAATTGGCAAGTGTTTATTAGCTTTCAGACAACTGCTTTCTTTTGAGCCTAGGTCCCCTTCTCCAACTTCGATACTGGGCTACCTCAGGGAACTTTCTTAAGTGCCTCCTAAGGTGCAAAACCTAGGGACTAAGATCCTAAAGGAGAAGAGGAGAAGCTTCCCATATAGATTATTCAGTGATTTAAGTTTCTTTGTCTGAAGGTGACCTGACCAAATGGAAACAAGACTTGATAGAAAAACATAGCCCTCCTTTCTGTCTTATCACTTCTTTTCTGCTCTGTAGAACCCAGTCTTCTCCTTTTCTGCCCAAATTCTTAAACTTTTTTCATCTATTACTTCCTTTTACTGTTTTCAAAACTTGTCCTTTCTTGCTGCCCAAATTCTCTCCTGCTTCTCAGTTTCCCCCACGGCTGGACAAAAACTTTGTTGAATCTCAGGGATCGAAGCCACTTCTTTCTTCATGAACCCAAAAGCTTTCTCTTCTTTTGGATATGCTTTTGGATCTTATATGACATTATCAAATGATCCAAAATTTTCACCCTCTTTCTACTCTTTTCCTCTTGTCGTTTTGTTCCCTCATACGTATCTGTGAAGGGAGGAAGGGCAAGAGGAACCGGTGCTTAGACAGCCTTAGAGGATGAAATATTAAGTTGGTTTTATATCCCACTTTTGATGTCTCTTCTTAACCTAGGGGGGGTAGGAGCGAAGGTAAGAGGGAGAGAGTGAGAGACAGCACGAGAGCTGTAAGCCCATAAGCCTCAGGATTGGAGCAGAGGATGGGAATCAGGTTGTACCTTTGACATTCCTCTGTAGGGAAATGGGAGCTTCCTGATTCTCCTCTCCTTTAATCCACACGAGGGGTTGAATGACAACTTCTTTTTACGGAAATTTGCTACTTATCTTAGGGCAATTTAGGTTGAGGAGGAAAAATCCTCTATTGCTAACACTGTATAACATGTGTGTACTTAGAGTGGTTTTATTTTGTTTTGAGGTGATTTTTTGTTTTGTGTGATTTGTTTTGTGTGGTTTTTTTCTTTATTATCTTTTATTTTAATTTGGTATGTGTTTTTTGGCGAGGTGCTTATGTTTTTGTGGGTGTTATCTATTTTGGATTTGGGGAAAGAGAAATTTTTTAAATTGTGGTTAAATATATAGAACATAAATTTTAACCCTTTTTAAATGTACAATTCAGCAGCATTGAGTATATTCACATGGTTGTGCAACCATTACTACTTTCTCCAGCACATTTTCATCATCCTGAGCTGAAACTCTGTCTGCATTGTACAATAACTCTCAATTACCCCCTCCCCCCTGCCACTGGGAGCCTCTATTCTACTTTCTGTCTCTATGAATTCGCCTATACTAGATACATCATAAGTGGGATCAGACAGTATTTGTTCTTGTGTGTCTTGTCCTTTTGTGTCTGGCTTCTTTCACTTATCATAATGTCTTGAAGGTTCATCCCTGTTATAGCATTTGTCAGAATTTCCTTCCTTTTTAAGGTGGAATAATATTCCATTGTATGTTTATATAACATTTTGTATATCCATTCAACCAGTGATGGATGTTTGAGTTGTTTCTACCTTTGGGCTATTATGAATATTGCTGTTATGAACATGAGTGTACAGATATGTGCTCTAGTCTCTGCTTTCAATTTTTTTGGGTATATACCCAGGAGAGAGCTTACTGGATCATATGGTAGTTCTATTTTTTTTAATAACCACCATACTCTTTTCCATAACGGCTCCACCATTTTACCATCCCACCAGCAATGCACGAAGGTTCCAGTTTCTCCACATCTTCATTGACACTTGTTAGTTTCTATTTTGTTTTTTATAATAACTATCCTAATGGATTAAAGTGGTGTCTCCTTGTGGTTTTGATTGTATTTTCCTACTGATTAGAGATGTTGAGAATCGTTTCATGTGCTGTTGACTGGGAATTTTTTAAAAACATTTGTTTGTTATTTCAGTTTTTATTTATTGGTGTATGGATGTGGATTTCAGACATAGACTTGAGTCATTTTAGTCTATTGCCAGCAGCGGAGGTGCCCGAATGCTGGCGGACTCGGGGCCGTCCAAAGTAAGTGTCCCTCCCCTCATTCTCCCTCTCTCTCTATGGCAAGTAACTTAGCTAATTGTGTATTTTACTAAATAGACCTATCTCCCTCTCTACAGACTCTTGTTTAACTCGTCTCCCTGGCTTTTAAAGTGTAACTGATTTGGGGGTATGTGGATTTCTGTCACCTACTTACTGCCACCTTCTCTAGGCCTCAGTTTTGTTTTTTTTTTAAATATTTTATTTATTTTGTATTTTTCCTTCTCCCCAAAGCCCCCTAGTATGTAATTGTATATTTTAGTTGTGTGTCCTTCTAGTTGTGGCATGCCGCTTCAGCATGGCTTAATGAGTGGTGCCAGGTCTGTGCCCAGGATCTGGACTGGCGAAACTCTGGGCTGCCCATGAGGAGCACGTGAACTTAACCAGTCAGCCACAGGGCCAGCTCCCTCAGCCTCAGATTTAAAGGGAAAGACAGGTTCTTGGAGGCCTGTGCCGTCAAATGAAAGGATTGGAGGAGATCCTCTCAACAACGGGAACTCTAGGAAAAACTGCACAGATCCAGTGCTGGGAAGGAAGAATCACTCCTAGGCTCTAAGCCTATCTTCTCTCTTGACTCCAGGCAAGGTAAATGGCCTATATACTCTCCAGGAATGGTGGAGAAAATGGGATTTCTGCCCTGTGAATCCAGGCGCCACCTAAATTATCTCCCTTGCTCTCTTGAGTGTCCTGCATGTTTACCTTGCTTCTTCTGGGGTTTTGAAGTTGCTGTAGAACTCTGAACAAAGAACTGGGAGTGTTGAGGCACAGAGGGGTGTGGCAGGTATGTTGGGGGAAACTTTAGCTTTAGTAGAAAGCACATGATTTTTAATTACCATTGCTAACAACTTGAAAATCAAGAGGAAGATGTTCATGAGATTATCTCTTACCTGAGGAAGAGAAAAAGGGAGGAAGGCTTTTTGTCTCTCAGGCCTCAAAACCAGCACATTAAATACACAGCAAGTAAGGTGATATTCACTCACAGAGGGTAGCAGGAGAGCCAGATGGTCATTCACATGCTGGAAACGCTGAATTGGATGAAAACTACATGTGTGTATTTGGGCGGAGTCACCACTCTCAGCTGGGTGTAGTGCCCTACTCCAGAGGGTGTCATTCACATAGACTAAAGCATGATTGTCACCTTTTGGAGTAGAGTAATACACATCATGGACGATATATGTGGTGGCTGTGGGGTGAGTGTATATAGCTGCATACACAGGGTTGCTCTTCCTTGAGTCCAAGCACCATCCTCCCATTGCTGGGCTACCTCAATTGGCTCTCATAGGGAAGTCTTAAGGAGGAAGACCTAGGAACTGAGGGCTCCTGGGAAAAGTCACCCATGGAGGTTTTCCAGGGATTTGTATACCTTGTCTAAAGGAGGTGTGCGCACACAGGTACACAGGTGTAAAACTTGTAGTGAGGATGTGGCTTTCCCTCTGTGCATTCAGAGCTTCTATTGTGGGCAGAACCCCTCCACAACTCTCACCTGTTCTTTATGCCCCTCCACAACTCTCACCTGTTCTTTATGCCCCTCCACAACTCTCACCTGTTCTTCCCTGGCAATCTTCTTTGTAGTTCCCAAGCCTTTCCCTTTCCACTGGGGCTTTTCAAACTCCCTCCTGCCTCAGAAGCTTCCCTCTATTCCCAAATGCTCTTTACTCTCTCAGGATTGAAGACAAGCCTTCCTCGGCGATTTGGATGTACTTCTTTATTTGGAAAAATATATACATTTTCTTCCAATGTATATGTATATAAATATATACATTTATTTAAATATTTATTTAAAATATATGTTTATGTATATCTATGTCAATTCTTTCTGAATTCACCATAACCGTAGGAGTTAAGAAGATGCCTAGAAGTTTTAATTTGGTTAGTTCCTTTTACTCTATTTAACCTTTTTAAAAATTCTGTGAAAGGATGAAGGGAGGGGACGGTACTTATCTCAGACCTCTTGAGAATGAGGACATGTCACTTTGTCTTTTCCCTTCTACATTCCTTACATTGTTCTTTCTTAACCTAAGGTCTTCGCAAAGAAAGACAAGAGTCACAGAGAGAAGATGGGTGGCACTAGACCCCTGGAGACCATCTGCAGGAGCAGAGCAGTGACCGGGCAGCAGGTTGTATACACTACAGTGCTGGCAAGTGGGGTTGGGGAGCCACCATCCTCATGCCTCCTCCCAGATGAGTTCCCATAAACCACGTCACATCAGTGCACTGAATGGGAAAGTGGAAGTTTGTGGAATTTTGCTGTCATCTCAAATCAGTTACATATCTTACCCTACTCCAGATCTTGGGGAAAATTTAGATAGTGACCAAGAGGATGGGAATTCCTCTCTTTCATCTCCCAATATTACTACATTACTACCTTCATACAACCGGTGTCCATTGCTCAAGAGGCCTGTTTCCCTTTCACGAGCTCTGTGGGTTTCCTGGGCAAAAAGTCTTACATCCCCAGATTTGTGTCAGCAGTGGCAGTGATGCCATTGCAGATTGTTCTCAGATTTGGTTGTGTACTTATCTTTCAGGTGTGAGAGTTTATGTGTGTGTGTGTGTGTGTGTGTGAGTTAGTTGATTGGTCCATGTACATTTTGTATTGTTTGAATTTGGGTTGAGCTTTCAGATTGTTTTTGTTTAGTAATACATTTTATTTGGACTTTGGTACCTAGTTTTATTATTTGTTTGTTTCTTTGCTTTTTGTAATTATTTTATTTATAGTTGTACTTTTATTTGCAGAGTCTGTGTGTATTCGTTTTTAAAGCTTGGCTTTTGCTTTTTTAATTAGTGTATTTGTTTCTATTTCATTGTGTGGGGCATTTTTGGTTGTTATTGTTTGCTTGTATGCTTGAGGGTTGTTTTAGCTAGAAATTTGACGTTGTTTTAGTGAATATGTTGTTTTTGTTTTTGTTTTTTTGGGAGGAGTTATTTTTGAATTATTTCTTTTTGGTTTAAGTCTGGGTTTTCTTTGTTTTTGATTTGGCTTTGATTTGTTTCTGTGTTCTGTTTGATTTGTTCTGAGAAGTGCTTTGTAGTTTTAGTTGTGGTTGTGTGTACATATGCACGTGTTTCTTTCCTCCTGTTTTGTCTTATTTTTTTTCTCTGCTGTGTATCTGTTTTTCAGCTTGACTTTTCGTACGTGTGTATGTGGGTGGATGGTTCTGGATGTGGGTTTGTGCATGTTTCCATGACAGCATGTTTTATTTTTTATTTATTTATTTATTTTTGCTGCGGAAGATTCATCCTGAACTAACATGTATTGCCAATCTTCCTCTTTCTGTATGTGAGCCACTGTGACAGCATGGCCACTGAGAGAAGAGAGGTGTAGGTCCGTGCCCGAAAACAACCCGGGCTGCCAAAGCAGAGCATGTCACACTTAACCACTAGGCCACTGGAGCTGGCCCTCCCATGTATTTTTTGTTTCAGCTAATGTTTCTTCTTTCATTTGTGAGGGGAGTGTGTGTGTGTGTTTGTGTGCACTTTTTTGTGTTTGCAGACTATTTTTGTTTTTGTTTTGTTTTGTTTTTGTTTGTTTGTTTTTGAGGAAGATTAGCCCTGAGCTAACTGGTGCCAATCCTCCTCTTTTTGCTGAGGAAGACTGGCCCTGAGCTAACATCCATGCCCATCTTCCTCTACTTTATTTGTGGGACGCCTACCACAGCATGGCTTGTGAAGCAATGCATAGGTCCACACGCAGCATCTGAACCGGCGAACCCCGGGCCGCCGAGAAGCGGAACATGCAAATTTAACCACTGTGGCACTGGGCCAGGCCCTGGAGACCTTTTAATTTGTATGATTTTTGTTTTGTTGTTTTCCCTTTAATATTTGTGTGGGGCCCTTTAAGTTTTGTTTTGTGAGTATTTATGTGTATATATTGTATTTGAAGTTTGGTTTCTGCAAGTTGTGGGAATTCACTTGGGTTTTGTATGTTTTGCCTCAGTGCCTGTGTGTATGCTCGTATGGTGAGGTATTTTCAGTATGTTGTCTTATTGATATATTCATGTACAGTTATGTGTTGCTTAAGAACAGTGATATATTCTGAGAACTTTGTTGTCAAGTGATTTTGTTGTTGTGCGAACATCATAGAGCGTACTTACGCAAACCTAGATGGTACAGCCTACTCCACACCTAGGCTCTATGGTACTGATGTTATGGCATCACCATTGTATATGTGGTCTGTTATTGACCCTACTGTCATTCTGTGGCATGTGACTATATTGTTTCTGTTTGAATTTTGTTGTAGTTGCTTCATTTATTTCTTTAAATTCTTTTTATTGAACTTGGTTTATATGGAGGATTATTGGTAGGGATTTTGAAAAACAATCTTATTTGTTTTGTATTATTATTGAGTAATTTGTGCCTTGTTTTTCTGATTGATTTTTTCATTGTTTATCAAACTTCTTGTACATTGGAGTATAAATTGTCTTGCTAGAGATGGATTATTTGTGTTGTTCTTTATAGATGTTTTTTAGCTTATACGGTATTTGATTTTTGAATTGTGTGTATAAGTGTGTATTCATTATTTTGGAATTTTTGTATTAAGGGACTTTATTTTGGAGGATGACTTTATTTTATTTTTGGCTATTCCAGTCATTTGAATTTCCATTTAAAAAGATTTATTAAGTTATATTTGGCATAATTAAAAGTCTACCATTTGATACATTGTGGCATATTTATACACCCATGAAACCATCACCACAATCAAAATAGGAAATCTTCTCGAGAAGATTCCTTCTGCCCCTTGATGATCCTTCATTCTTTCCCCTCCCTTTACCACTATATGCCCAGGCAACTACTGATCTGCTTCCAGTCACTAGAGGTTAGATTTTATTTTGCAGAGTTTTGTCAAATCGGAATCATAGAGAATATACTCTTTTTTGTTGTTGTTTTGGTTTCCATTCCATTATGTTGATGTCCCAAAGGTTTTTTGTTTTGTTTTGTTTGTTTGTTTTACTGCGTTTGCCTATGGAAGGGCATTTGTCTCCAGTTTGGAGTGATTTTGACTTTGGCTATTAGAAATAAAGTAGTTATGAGCCTTGGTATAAAACCATCTGTATGGAAATATGCTTTAATTCTCTTTGACAGGCTGGATCATATAATACAGTAGGCATATGTATACCTTTCTAAGGAACTAACAAGCTGTTTTCCAAAGTGGTTGTACTGTTTTACATGCCTACTACCACTGTGTGGGAGTTCCACTTGCTCTGTATCTTTGCTGGTACTTTTTATTGCCTATCATTTTAATTTTAGCCATCCAAATAGATGTGTCCTGGTGTTTCATTGTGAGTTTAATTTGCATTTCCCTATTTACTGATGATGAAGAGCATCTTTTCATGTGATTGATCTGCATCCTTGTATGTCTTTTGCTGAAGTGCCTATTCAAATCTTTTTGTCCATTTTTAATTGTGTTTGATCTCTTATTAATGAGTATTGAGAATTCTTTATATATTCTGGATACATGTCCTGTATCAGATACGTGATTTGCAAATATTTTCTCCCATGTGGGTTGTCTTTTCATTCTCTTCAAGAGTATCTTTCAAAGAGAAGAACTTAATTTGGATGAGGTCTAGTTTTTCAATTTGTCCTTTTATGGGTCCTGCTTTTGATGTCATATCTAAGAAATCTTTCCCTAACCAAAATTGGCAAAATTGAAGAGGGCCTTCACCAGAACTGCACCATGCTGGCACCCTGATCTCAGACTTCCAGCCTCCAGAACTGTGAGCGGTAAATTTCTGTTGTTTACAAGCCACCCAGTCTGTGGGACTTTGCTATAGCAGCCTGCACTAAGACAGAAGGGATAAGTAAGAACTCTGCCACCTCGGTTTTCAGGTGTCCGGTGAGAGAGACAGGGCTGGGATGAGAGCGGGAGTTGTACAGGATGGGGGTGGTAGATGAAGGCAGATATGGGTGCGTCTGATTTCTGCTATTTTCTTGTTTCCTATTTCTATATTTGCAACAGTTGCTTTTGACTCAATAGTCATGAATATCCTATCATTTACTGCCTCCTTTTTTCTATCCTAAAACATTCCCCAGGTATGCGTGTGGCAGAGAGATGATATTAGCTAGCTAAATCATCAGAAGGATCTGAGTGGTTGTCATAGGCTTCAAACCAGATTCTGAAAACATTGCCCTCAAAAATCATTGCAAGTCCAAATCTTGTCAATAAAATGGGAAACCTCAGATTCAGACAAGTTGGCATAGACCAAACCCTGCATGTCTCAGCTAAGTGCACTATAATGCTGGAAATAACACGAGAGGCAACTAAAGGAAAACTCAGAAAGGTGGAAAGAAAGAGGTGAACTGGTTAGGAACTTCCTGACTGGAGGAACGGCAGAGCTGCAGGTTGTCTTATGACCCCTCACCCAACAGGAGAAGTCAACCTAGGCATGGTGTTTCTCAGTCCTGGACCTAGCAACAGAAGGCGGGCTAGGTAGGCTCCTTGTTCCTGTCCTTTTACCATTAAAATGAAAGCACCACCGCATCAGCACTGCAGTGTCTTCCTGTGGTTTGTCTCATTTATCCTAAGATTTCCGTTATCAGTGATGGGTAATTAAGTAGAAGAGGCCAAGGACTTGAGGAAATCTGGATCTATTTACTTCACCCCAGTCTTCCTTTTTCTTTCAATGAAAAGTTACAGCCCACTATGGATTTCCCCAAATCCTTCCACTTCCCTATCCATTTCCCTACAAGAACTTGAGGTTCTGGTTGCTAATCTCCCAAAATCCCATTTACTTTTGGAAATTGTCTACCCTGAACTTCATTCTGAGTGTACCCAGTTGATGTTGTCATGAGATTTGAAATCACCTAGAGAGACAGAATGGAAAGGTGGGAAAATGCTCTCAGCAAACAAGTCTCACGTGAAAGCCTCACGAACTGTTTTGTAAATCACTTCTGTGTGTTTGCATGGGCTGTTTTGTTTCTCCAGCACCCGAAGAAGAAGTATGCTTTCTGATCTCACCATTCTGGCACTTGAGTATGTTCTTCTCCCCAGGGAGATTCTTGCTGTTATTCACTGGCTCTCCTGGGGCTTGGCATTTAGGTACCTGACACTGAAAGAGGCATCAGGAGGTTTCCGATGCAGGAGCCCGAAGGGCTGAGGTGTTGGACTTTTCTACCTAAAGACTTACTTTGGGGGTGGCAAAACAATTTTTAACGAACTTTCTATAATATCATTAATAATTTGAAAAATCAACAGGATAAGGCAGATATGGATTATTCTTCCTAAGGAAGAGGAGATGGAGGGAGGTTTATTCCACATTGTTCCTGAAACTTGGCTCATTCAAGATGCAGTAGGTGAGGGGATACTTAGAGGATGGAAGAGGCAGAGCAGTGGGATGAGCATTGCAAAGGCACTTTGGATAAATGTTGGTGTCTATTCAAAGACGTAAAGGTGTGAGGGGGGAGTGAAAGCTACATGAGACATGTCTGAGCAGGACAGCCACATTCAGCCACATTGTATGCAGTATCCTATTCAAGGCGGTGTGATCACACAAACTAAACTCTGAATTTTGCCTTTTTGAAGTAGAGTAATGTACAACATGTACATCAATATGTGGTAGTCCTGGGGCTGGGGGTGAAGCTTCAGGCACAGAACTGCCCTCCTATGACTTAGAGGCCACCTCCTCAGTGCCGAGTTATTTCAGAGGACTCTCAGAAGCACATCTTGAGAGACCAGACCCAGCAAATGAGGGTCCCTGGAAAAAGCTTCTCATCTACTCGCTTCAGAGATTTGTGTCCCACTGTTCTGAAAAGACCTGACCAAATTGGAAAGAATTTTGGTGGATATCTTGCCCTCTCTGTAGTCTAGAGTTTCTTCTTTCTGAAGAACCTAAATACACCTCCTGTGCTCAAAGCTACCATCTTCTCTCAGCTTTCCAATTCCCTCACAGGAGCCTTCTTCTTTTTCCTTGCCCTAATGCTATCCTACCTTACAATTCTCTGCTGGACTCAGAAGCCCTTTACTCTCTCAGGGATTGAATCCACCTGTTTCTGCAGGGCCTAGAAGTTCTTTCTTCCTTTAATATTTCTTTGTATCTTCTCTGATCACCATATCAGTAGGGGATTAAGACGGTACACAGAAATTTGCATGAAATTGATATATTTTCCCTTTAATTTAATTTTTTAAAGTTTTGTATAGAGGCATGGCGAGATGTGAAAATCTACCTCTCAGAACTTTTGAGAATGAGGAAGTATTGCGTTGGCCTTTCTCTCTTGCTTATTTTCTTTCAATTAAAAAAATTATTTTAAATTCCACATATAAGTGATACCATACAGTATTTGTCTTTCTCTGTCTGGCTTATTTCCTTTACCATAATGCCCTCCAGATTCATCCATGACACAAATGGCAGGATTTTCTTATTTGTGGCTAAATAATATTCCATTATATATATATATATTATATATATATATATATATATATATACACACATATATATACCTCTAAATAATATTCCATCATATATATATATACCTCTTACATTTTCTTTATCCATTCATTCATTAATGGACACTTAGATTACTTACCTATCTTAGATATTGTGAATAATGTTAGAATTAACATGGGAGTGCAGCTATCTCTTCAAGACTCTGCTTTCAATTCTTTTGGATAAATACCCAGAAGTGGGATTACTGGATCATGTGGTATTTTTATTTTTAATTTCTTGACGAAACTCCATATTGTTTTCCATAATGGCTCTACCAATTTACATTCCCACCAACAGTGTACAAAGATTCCCTTTTCTCTACATCTTCACCAACAGTTATTATTTCTTGTCTTTTTGATGACAGCCATTTTAAGAGGTGTGGGGTGATATCTCATTGTGGTTTTGATTTGCATTTCATTGATGATTAGTGGTATAGAGCACCTTTTCATGTACCTGTTGGCCATTTGTATGTCTTCTTTGGAAAAGTATCCATTCAGGTCCTTTGCCCATTTTTAAATTGGATTACTTGGGGCTTCTTTTACTAGTGAGTTGTATGAATTCCCTATATATACGGGATATTAACCCCTTATCAGTTACATGGTTTGCAAATATTTTCTCCCATTCCATTGGTTGCCTTTTCAATTTATTGTTTCCTTTGCTGTTGCAGAAGCTTTATAGTTTGATGTAGTTTCACTTGTTTATTTTAACTTTTGTTGCCTACACTTTTGATATCTTATCCAAAAAACCATTTCCAAGACCAATGTCAAGGAGCTTTTCCCTATGTTTTTTCTAGGGGTTTTACAGTTTCAGGTCTTACGTTTAAATTTTTAGTCCATTTTGAGTTAATTTTTGTGAGTGGTGTAAGATGCGTCCAATTTCATTCTCTTGCATGTGCATATCCAGTTTTCCCAGGACTGTTTATTGAAGAGGCTATCCTTTCCTCATTGTGTGTTCTTGGCATCCTTGTCAAAGATTAGTTGACCATGTATGTGTGGGTTTATTTCTGTTCCTGATTCTGTTCCTTTGGTCTATATGCCTGTTTTTATGCCTGTTCTCTTGCTCATTTTGAGGTGTTACTCTTAACCCAGGGCTCTCACAGGAGAAAGCAAGAGAGAGTGAGCAAGCGCCAACTCCTACAGACCACCTTGGATCAAGGTATAAGTGATAGATTCGTATATCAGGGAATGAGACATAACCTGATAACTTAATGCCACATCACCTCCTGAGTAAGTTCATATAAATCAGATCAGGGTGTTGAGTTGGCAATTGATATCTGTGGATTCTGTTGCCTATCTCTAAATCACCATATACCCAAAAATCTGATGCAAAGCCATGAGGAAATTTAGGCTGTAATGAAGAGGAGGAAAATTGTTCTATTTTATCTCCTAACATTGTTACCAGGGTACCATGTCTGTTTACTTCTCACAGTGGCCACTTCTCTCTTTCCTGCCCTCTCAGCATTCCATCTGCAGTGAGTGTCCTCCATCCCTCATATGTGCTAGGTTGCAACAGGGGCTCCTTTGAAGTTTGTTCTCAGGTTTTTGTGCTTATTAGGAGTGAAGTCATTTTTCAGTGTGCATGTTTTGGGAGTTTTGTATTTGTGTGTGTAAGAATATATTCTGTGGGGGTTTTTTGTTTGTTTCCTTTTTAGTGTTTTACTTATGGAATTAATTCTTGTTTTTGCTTATGATATTTTTCATTAAAATTTGGTTTGTGCATTATTTTTTGTTGTTATTTTCTTTACTTGTTTGCTTTTTGGGGTTTGTTTCCTGTGGGCTTTTGTGTATTAGAATTTGTTGTATTTGTGCCTTCTTTTCACTGCTCTGTTGATTGGTGTTTTTTTTAATGTGTGTTATTTAGAATTTCCTGTGGTATTTTTGACTTTCCATTGTTTGCCACTGCACTGTTTTGTGTGGATTATACTTTGGTTTGTTTCTTTATCTGCATGTTTATTTGCATGTGTTGCATGGGTTGCGTTGTCTGCATGTTGACTTTCTAGTATGTAATGTTGCAGCTTCTGCTGTTGCAGACTTCCATCTCTGGGCAGAGGATGCCAAGCTGCAGCCCACATGGTGGTATAAGGAAGAATCAAGGTGTGAAGAAGAAGATAATTCTGTCCAGCACTGTTCCAACCAAGCTCTAGCCAGTTTGCAATATCCAGATACAACAAGTGAGTTGCGTGATCCTTTCTACTTAAACAACTGACTTTTGGGAAATACAAAGTAGTTTTTCATGTGCCAACTATATTAAATAGAAAATAAGCAGAATAATGCAGGCAAGTATTCTAAGTCCAAGAGGAAGAGGGAAAAGGAAAGGAGGAAGGCCTGTTCTCTCTCACTCCTAAAATCTGTCCTATTAAATGCACAGCACGTGAGGGGATAGGCACTCAGGGAAAGAGAAAAGAGAGAGGGGAACACAGCAGTTGTTCTCCAGTTCTTTTGGGTGTGTTCTGCTGATCCCTCTTTGACTGAGAGTGTTGGGATACTGATTGAACAGGCATAGCGAGGGGTGTATTGGGGTGTGTGCAGGATCGCCACCTTCAGCCATGTTGTGTGCAGTGCTTCACTTCAGGAAGTGCCATCCATGTGGCTAGAAATATGATTGGCACCTCTTAGAGTGAAGTAATGCACAACAGGTACATCAGTGCTGGCTCTGGGAGAGGGAATATGGCGACCTGCACACAGGTGCCATTTCTTGAATCTTGGAATCGTTCACTCAACAGCTGGTTCGACTCATGGGACACTTTAAAAAAGCTTCTAAAACCCGGAGAAGGATAGTCCTAGGAAAAGCCTCGTCTGTAGGTTCTTCAGGGCTTTATATCACTTTGTTAAAAAAGGTTAAGAATGTCACCTTCAGCTACGTTTGTTCAGTGCCTTACTCAGGGAGGCGTTGTTCACATAGATTGGTATATGAATGGCACCTTTCTGAGTAGAGTAATGTGCAACATGGACAACGTTTGTGGTGGTACTTGTAATGGTGGGTGGAGCTTTAGTTACAGAACTGCACTCCCTTGAGCCCCGGTACCTACCCTTCAGTGAGGGACCACTTGCCAGTACTCTCTGAAGCACCTCTTCAGAGACCTGATTCAAAATTTGAGGGCCCCTGGAAAAAGTCTGCCATGTAGTTTCTTCAGATTTTTATAACTCTTTGTCTACAAAAAGACTGACCACACTTGAAACAATATTTTAGGATACGAACATGATCCTCCTTCTCTTGTACTTCTTAGTCTTTCCTTTCTGCACAATCCCAGTACACTTCCTGCCTTCAAAACTCCTGAAAAGCTTACACCCATTTGTTTTCCTCACAATATTCAAACTTTGTTTTTTAGGTAGCCAAGACACCCTCCTGCCCTTCCCCACTGAAGCCCAAACTCCTTTTAACCCTTTCATGGAATTGAGCCCAAAGTTAGGAAAAAACTGATGTTGCAGCTTAAAAGCAGTCAGGCCATAGGGATTTTCTCTTACTCAGTAAAGGGTGAGCCTTTTATTTTATTCAGGCCTTCAGCTGATTTGATGAGGCCCACCGATATTAGGGTGGGCAATCTGCTTTACTTTGTCTACCAATTTAAATGTTAATCTCATCCTAAAACACCCTCACAGAAACACTCTGAATATGTTTGACCAAATATCTGCACACACTGTGGCCCAGTCAAGATGACACATAAATTTAGCCATCAAGAGTCCACCCCTTGTCAACCTGGTACCCATATGCATCTGCTTAAAGCATACTTAATCTCCAAATGTCCAAATGAAGACAATAACAAGGTCGTAATTCTGCCTAACATAATACAACTATCCTGCAGACAACTGAAAATCCACTAACTCCTTCCCCAGAAGAGGAGGTAAAGTCTTTGAGTGATGTTTACTCTTCTCCTTGATATCCCATAACTGAAATACTATGATGTAAAGTTTAAAATATTTATTACTATGACTTAAAGTCAACACATCTTATGTTGCATGATAAAGGGATAAGAGGGGGAAGAAAACAACATATCTGATATATAATATACACAGGTACGTTCATGACAAAATAAAGAGGAAATACAATTATACATTTCTGTAACTGGTTACAAGGTGGTGGCTGTTATTTATAATGGCCCTCTTCCACTACCTATTCTATATTGCCTCTGCCTTCAGTAAGCACCTCAGCTGGTCATGGTTCTCTACTTGGTGGGTTAACCCAAACCTTCTTTGCTGAAGGGTCTGGGCCATTAGTAGTTCTGCCTGGATTGATTGTCATAGTTTTCCATGACCTTAATCACAGGGCATGGTAAGGCTAAGCGATACCCTAAGAAATTTCTTATATTCTAGACATACTCTTCCTTACCTCCATGGTGGAGTAGTAGTCCAATTTCCCCTTGGTAGTCTGGATCAATAGCCCTAGCAAGCACAGTAACTCGCCTCCTCAGACCTTTTTAAAATTAGGAAATATTGTATTGGCTTTTCTTTCTCCATATTTTGGGGCTATCTCTTCTTAAACCACAGCTGTTATGAGAGAGAAACACACACACAGAGACACAGGAGTGAAACAGTACCTCTTTCACACTGCTGTCCCGGGAAAGGTGGGATATCCTGATGCTTCCTTCCATATAAACTCCTTTAAGTTACAATCAAGTCTTGGCAAATGGTGATTGTGGGATTTGCTGCCCATCTCCAAACAGCCACCGGTCCCTCCTCACCTCAAGGAGTTGGGGAAGTGTGGGTTATGAAGAAATGCAAGGAAATCTTTCTTTCTTAAAAGTATTATGTTGTACCACGTCTGTCTACTATTCATAGTGTCTGTTCCCATCCTTTCTGCACTCACAGGGTTTCTCTGGGCACTGGGTCTCATTACCCCTGATCTGTGCTTGTTGGTGACAGTGACTCTCTGATATTTGTTCTAAAATATTTGTTTATGTTTGTATGGTGGTGGGAGGAGTCATATATGTGTTTGTGTGTGCTTTGGTGTATGTGTCCATATATTTGTGTGTGCGTGGGATTTTGTTAAGTTGTTTTTTTGAGTTTGGAGTTTTGTGTTTGTCTCCTGTTTGGATTTTGTTATGCTTTTGCTGTTCCCATCAATTTGTTTTATGTGTAGAGTTTTGCTTTGTTTGACTTTTGCTCCTTTGGGATTTTATGAGTTTGAATTTATTTTTAGATTTTGCATGCTCTTTGTTATTGGTGTTTTGATTGGTATTTTTTTATGTAAGTGATTGGAATTTTGTATTTTCTTTTTTGTTGTTGTTATTTGGGTTTCACTCTGTGCTTTTTTTGGTGTATTTTTTATTTGCATATTGATTTGTGTCATGTTTGTTTGAACTTTGAATTGTGTGTTGCTAGAGTTCTTTTGATGACATCAGTTTGGCTTGTGGTTAGATCTTTGTGTTTTGCGTGTGAGGTTTTGTTGTTTATTTATTTTAGATTATTGTGTGATTGGGTGTGTCTGTGTGTGGCTTTATGGGGTGGTGGGTCTTAGAATTTCCTGCTATGTGCTAGGATGCTACAAAGATTTCTTTGAAGCTACTGAGGGGTGAGTGAAGCAGAGAAGGAGAAATTGGACTCGTGCTGGTGGTTGAAGGAGAGAGTTTTGAGTTGTTATTTTTTCCCATTGAGAAGGTTGGAGAGACATGTCAAGGGCCCGAATACTTTGAGGAAGAGATAAGTGGACAAAAGATAAATTGATATATATAAAGATTTCTGTAGAATGTGACTTTAGTTACTTTTCATGGATTTCAAGAAATTCAAAAAAAGAAATCAAGATATTTAGAATTATATTGTTTTCTGAAATATGTTTCCTTGACCATGCCCAAGCTCTGATACTGAGCTGTGTATTTTCCTGTCTTTGTGGGATTGTAGATGTTTAGTGGACTGATGGGAATGATGCATGGGAACATCTGAGACGGAGTATCTTCATTATTTTCCCATACCAACTTAAAAGAAGTGTATGGCTACTGTGCAAATGCTTATCGTCATCTGGACTTACTAAACTGAATGCAGAATGATCAAGCCCAGTAGTCTATGCGTGGAAGGAGGGAATTCTGGCCAGCTCCCTGACAACACAGTTTTGTCATACATAGTGTCTACATTGGATGGGGTATCTCTCTACTGTATTCTATTATTTCTATTAGAATTGCTTTGGGGAATTAGGAAGAAAGTCGTGTATCTAGAGTTGGGACTGGGAAGAAACAAAACAGAGTCAGGAGGCCTCTTTGTCTTGGGAATTTCCCTTGAGAGCATGAGTTGATGGTCCTAGATTATCATAACTGTGAAACATGGAAATATTAGGTACTGTGTGGTGTTTCTTGCATTTAAGGGGGAGGAGAATTTATTTTATAGACAATTGAAGGTAAGGGAATGCGTGCAGACTGGAGGACAAGAGGACATCCAAATTACATTATCCTTACCCTCATCTTACTTTATATTTCAAAATTTAAAAACGTAACTGGTATGTATGTACACAAATCTTATATCTTTCTTCACAAGAATTTCCAGAACCATTTTCCATATTTGTAAATCAAGCCTGTCTCTGTTCTGGTATTGTCCTTTGTATTTCCTTCTAACTTTTCCAGGTTCAGTTCGTCAAAGAAAATGCAGCCACTTTGTAGTGTGTCACAGAGTGAAAAAATTCAGAAATATGCTCGTAATAGCCATGCATCCAAAGGAAGGTTTAGAAAACCTAGGAACTGAGAGGAGGATAAGGGCATCCCTAGGCACCGAGAACATTTTCTGACTTGTTGATCACTCCTGATGAGTAAAATGTGTTCATTTTTAACTCCAGGGTCTGAGGAGAAGGGATCTCTACTCTCTCCATCCCATCAACTACTGATTATTCTCCCATTCTTTGCTCCCAAGATCCTGTGCGTTTTACCTCCTTATTTTGTGTCTCAGGAGTTGAGGTAAGTAACTCAGATAGGAGGGACTCAGATCTTTGGGTGAAAGGCAGTAGTTAATGAAATGGAATTTATTTTCTGCCTCAATATTGGACCTGGGGAATGCAAACCACCTGTTAATACATATATATAACAGTGGGAAAAGAGTCAAATAAACATGTGAAGATATTTCTTCCACGGGCAAGAGAACTTAATAAGAAGGCTTAAGGGTTCTCAGTTCTTAAAACTAACATGTGAAAACTCCAGCATGTGTCAGAACAGCACTCAGGGATGGATGGGTGAGAAAAGACAGTGGAGTGGGTGCTGCAGAGTTCCTTTGGACAAATGCTGATGTCCACCCACAGCCTGCAAACGTCCAGGATGATTTAGTTTCCTATGGCAACTGTAAGAAAGTACCACAAACTAGGTAACTTTTATCAACAGAAATTTATCGTCTCATAGTTCTGGAGGCTAGAAGTCTGAAATGAAGGTATTGGCAGAGCCATGCTCCCTCTGAAACCTGTAGGGGGCTCTTTCCTTGCCTCTTCCAGCTTCTGGTGGTTTGCTGGCAATCTTGGGCATTTCTTGGCTTGTGGATGCATCACTCCAATCCTCCAGTGTCTTCATATATCTGTCTGCCCGTGTCCCTGTCTGTATCTCTTCGCCTGTCATAAGACATCAGTCATATTGGATTGGGGGCCCAACCTACTTTAACATGACCATATCTTAACTAATTGCATCTACAATGAGCCTATTTCCAAATAAGGTCACATTCTGAGGTACTGAGGGTTATAACTTCAACATATCTTTCTTTGGGGGATACAACTCAACCCATAATGGAGAGATTGTTTCAAATGTGCACGATTTGGTCTTCAAGTACGGCTGCCATCCTTAGACATGCTGTGTGCATTACCTCACTCCGGAAAGTGTCAATCATGTATAACTAAATATGATTGACACCTCTGTGAGTGGAGTAACGCCAGCTATATGCAACATATACAATAGCACTGTGGGTACATTGAAAGTGTTTAGTTCTATGCAGTGGGATGTTTCCCTCTCTAAGAGGGATGCACCACTGTCTAAGTGCAGGACTTACATCAGGTAGCTCCAAAGACTTCTCACACAATCCATCTGCTCTAGGCTTGTAAGCTGGATTGAATTGGTCAGGACCTGTTCCCAGGGACCACACACTCCTTGTAAATCACTAAGGTGTTTGCTTGTTTCTCTACATGGTGATGATCCCCGAGATTTAATGAAATGCAATATGAGAAAACAGATATCACTGTAAATAAAACTGTCATAGCATATTCTAGGTCAGAATATTTTCTAGGTTTTAAAGCAATCTACAGATTCAATGCAATCCCAATCAGATTCCCAATGACATTCTTCACAGAACTAAAACAAAGAATCCTAAAATTTATATGGAGCAACAAAAGACCCTGAATAGCCAAAGCAATCCTGAGAAAAAAGAACAAAGCTAGAGGCATCACAATCCCTGACTTCAAAATATACTACAAAGCCATAGTGATCAAAACAGCATGGTACTGGTACAAAAACAGGCACACAGATCAAGGGAAGAGAATCTAGAGCCCAGAAATAAAACCACACGTCTTTGGACAGCTAATCTTTGCAAAGAAGCCAAGAACATACAATGGAGAAAGGAAAGTCTCTTCAATGAATGGTGCTGGAAAAACTGGACAGCCACATGCAAAAGAATGAAAGCAGAACATTATCTCTCTCCATACACAAAAATAGACTCAAAATGGTTCAATGACTTGAAAGTAAGACCTGAAAACATAAAACTCCTAGGAGAAAATATAAGCAGTACATTCTTTTACATTGGTCTTAGTAGCATCTTCTCAAATACCAGGTCTACTCAGGCAAGGGAAACAAAAGAAAAAATAAACAAATGAGACTACCTCAGACTACAGAGCTTCTGCAAGGCAAAGGAAACCATGAACAAAACAAAAAGACAACACACCAAATGGGAAAAAAAATTTGCAAATTATTTATCTGACAACGGTTTAATCTCCAAAATTTGTAAAGAACGCATACAACTCAACAACAAAAAAACAAACAAGCCATCAAAAAATGGGCAGAGGATCTGAACAGACATTTTTCCAAAGAAGATATACAGATGGCCAACAGGCACATGAAAAGATATTCAACATCACTAATCATCCGGGAAATGCAAATCTAAATTACAATGAGATATCACCTTACACCTGTTAGAATGGCTATAATTACCAAGACAAAAAGTATCAAATGTTAAAGAGGATGTGAAGAAAAGGGAACCCTCATACACTGCTGGTGGGAATGCAAACTGGTGCAGCCACTATGGAAAACAGTATGGAGATTCCTCAAAATACTAAAAATAGAACTACCATACGACCCAGCTATCCCACTACTGGGTATCTACCCAAACAATTTGAAATCAACAATCCAAAGAAGCATATACACCCTTATGTTCATTGCAGCACTATTCACAATAGCTAAGATGTGGAAACAATCCAAGTGCCCATTGATTGATGACTGGATAAAGAAGATGTGGTATATATATACAATAGAATACTACTCAGCCATAAAAAAGACAAATTCATCCCATTTGCAATAACATGGAAGGACCTGGAGGGAATCATGCTAAGCGAAATAAACCAGACTGAGAAAGACAAACATCAGATGATTTCACTTATATGTAGAATATAAACAAAGACATGGACAAAGAAAACAGTTCAGTGGTTGCCAGGGGAAGGGGGGTGAGGAGTGGGCACAGAGGATGAAGGGGAGCACTTATGTGGTGACAGACAAGAAATAATATACAACTGAAATCTCACATCGATGTAAACTATTATGAACTCAATAAAAAAAAATGGAAATACCTTACAACCCAGCTATCCTACTACTGGGTATTTATCCAAAGAACTTGAAATCAACAATTCAAAGAGACTTATGCACCCGTATGTTTATCGAAGCATTATTCACAATAGCCAAGATGTGGAAGCAACCCCAGCGCCCAACAACTGAAGAATGGATAAAGAAGATGTGGAATACCACTCAGACATAACAAAGACAAAATAGTCCTATTTTTAACAACATGGATAGACCTTGAGGGTATGACGTTAAGCGAAATAAGCCAGACAGAGAAAGATAAATACTGCATCATTTCACTCATATGTGAACGATAAACAAATACATAGATAAAGAGAACAGATTAGAGTTTATCAGAGGAGAAGGGGGTTGGGGGTGGGCAAAAGGGGTAAAGGGGTACATATGTATGGTGATAGATAAAAATTAGACCATCGGTGGTAAGCACAGTACAGTCCATACAGAAATTGATAATAATGTACACCTGAAATTTCACAGTGTTATAAGCCATTATGACCTCAAAAAATAATTTTTTTAAAAAAAGAATATTTTCTAGGTTTTTAAGATGCACAAGTAATTTTGTTTATTTTATTGGTGATCATGTACTATGAGCCAAATATGAGATGGAGTCATGTAGTTCTCCATTTTATATGAGTTACAACTGCTTGATAGAAAAAAGGAGACTAAACCCAGGAAAGTCTTGCTGAGGCAAACTTACTTGCCATGCTGTACCTCACTTATACATAGAGACTCTGGGTATGGCTGTTGCTCCTGTTGCCGAAGGTTTAATAACCAAGGACATGCTCAGGGACAGGTTGGAATGAGGAATTGTCAAGATATAGCCCTCAGAGATCCATCATGGTTGTGATGTCTTCGTAGAATAAGTGCTTGAATCCTTTGTCTATTGCTATCTTTCTAGGCTCGGAGAACACATGGGTCTAGTGACTCTCAAGTCCCCAGGGGAATTCACTCTGTGATCACCTTGAGTGGAGAGGACAAAGGTAACATACCCTTTCCACAAGCATTTCTACAACCTGGCCCCGTGCTCCAGACAATAATTTATTTTAGTCTAGGAATCTCATCTATTTCTTTCACCCTGTGTCAGGTTTAGTTCATCTGGGAGAAGGAAGACAGCTTTGGCTTTATGTCTCAAAATGGAAAGGTGAAAAATCCTCTCAACAGCCAAACCGTCCATACAAGGTTGAGAACTACAGGACTGAGAGGAAAAAAATGATACCAGTACACCCTAAGCCCATCTCTTTTCTTGGAGATAATTCAAGGTTATATAAATGCACTGCATTGTTTTCAGGGATAGAGGGAGAAATGGAATTTCTAACCTCTTACTCCTAGCCTGCACGAAATCTCTCTGCTTCTTTCTTGTAGTTCCTTCATATTTTCACTGTCTCTTCTGTAGTTTCAGAATTAAAAATGGTACTCTGAGCAAGGGTTTGGGAATTTGGAGTGTGATGGGTTGGAGGGTCTTTCAATTTGGAGGGAAGGAAATCATATTTAATGAACTATTCTTAACACTATTCTATATACAACTAAACTAACTCTAAAAAACTAAATCAAGTGACTTCCAGAATTGTGTGTGAGGAACTTAGCAAATCATCTCTCCAAAAAGATAACAATAAAGCTGAACAAAATTATCAAAGATAACCATTTAAGTTTCTGAAAATTACCAAACTGGATGCAACAAAATGAGAACCATTTATTCAAGAAAATCTACTAAATTGCAGTAAGGACAGTGGGAATTTGTGGCATTTTAACCAAGGGCTATTCTCATCACCCACCCCAGATCTGTGGTGCAGAAGTTCTATCCAAGATGGTGAGACAGCCTATAAGGACTGGCATCTCACTCTGCTCACCCTCAAAATCCAGCTCTGTGGCACAGAAATTCTACCCAAAGACAAGTGATATAGAACACTGAGACTGTCATCTCTGAAGTTCTGCCTGAAGTGGCTGACTTTATTTGGCACAGATCATGGAAAAATCCATTCCCGGGCACATTGTCTAAAACAACAGAGATCTCAGAGGTAAACAATCAAGGAAAGCTAAGATCCCAGTGATACTAGATGAGGCAGGCTTAAAAATGGCAGAACAGCCAAAAATTTTACAAGGAGATCCTGTAAGAGAAACAGCCAAAGAAGATTGTGCTATGCTCAGACTCTGCCTGCATGAATAAAAATAAAACGATGGAAAAATACATGCACTACAAATAGCAACCATAAGAGAGCAGAAATGTCTCTACTAATATCAGATGAAATAGAGATTGAAAGAAAAAATGTTTCTAGATAAAATGAGAAATAGTTTATAATGGTAAATTGTCGATTAATCAGGAATAAATAAGCTTTATAAACATATATGCACCTAACAAAAGAGACCCATGATACATAAAAATAACAATAAAAGGGAGAAATATATGATTTAACAATAATAGTTGGACAAAAATCCATATTATCATCTCAATAGATGCAGAAAAAAGCATTTGACAAAATCCAACCATTATTCTTGATAGAAGCCATCAACAAATTAAGTTATAGGAATAGAAGAAAACTTTCTCACCCTAATAAAACTCATCTATGAAAAACCTACAGCTAGCATCATTCTTAATGGTGAAAAGCTGAAAGCTTTCGTTTTAAGATTGGGAATTAAAAAAACCCAGCCTACTCTCACCACTTCTATTCGGCATTGCACTGGAGATTCTAACCAGTGCAATTAGGAGGAAAAATAAATCAAAGGCATCAGCCTGAAAAGGAAGTCTTGTCACTGTCTTTATTCACAAAAACACGATCTTGTATGTAGAAAATCCTAAAAAATCTGCGAAACTACTATAACTAATAAGTTCATCAAGATCAATATTTACAAATCATTATATATCTATATACTAGCAATGAACAATCTGAAATGAAATGAAGAGAACAATCCTAATGAAAGAGCATCAAAAACAAGTATTTCATATTTGGAAAAATTGAACAAAGCAGTGCAAGATTTGTACACTGAAAACCGTAGAAAATTGTTGAAAGAAATTAAAGAAGACCTAAATAAATTTAAAGACAAATGGTGTTCATGGATTGGAAAGCTTAATATTGTCAAATGACAATTCACCAGGTTGATATAACAATTATA